GAGCATTGGTGACTACGCTGTGCTGATGAGTCCTAATGAGGATGTAACCGCTGCTGTTAGGCAGTCATATTTGCTCAAACGTACGTCGACGGTGACCCAAGACAATGGGACCGGAATGCACTCGTTCAGGAAATGCTGATGGGGGGAGGGGGGGTTGGAATGACGCGGACCCGAGATGTGTTCTTGACACGCGTGAAGTGTCCTGTTGGAAAGAGCCTCCAAGAAGACTCCACCAGAATGTCCCGTGCAGGGCCCTCTCTGAGTTCGAACGGCGGCGGTGGGAGCCAGCGATGCGACTTGCAGGGCCGCCCCTGTGCCCCATAACGTGGATAATTAGACCCAAGACGAAACATAACATATACAAAATAATGTTTAAAAAAATATATATATTTTTTTAATGATAGAATATAGTATTGTCATCAGTATGACATAAGTATACCAAATGTGCAGTCGATACTACATTGGGAAGTGGGTTAAAATTGAGTTACAACATTTGAGGATACAACAACGACAACAACAACAGACAGAGTGAGTTAAAAGAAAGCGTGTAACAACAGTTTAGTCTCAAGGCCTGTACGCGTCTCCCACCAACCTCGTTGAAGCCGACTTGGCATCCTCACTCTTTCCTCCGTGCGAAACGGAGCCAGCCATCTCTTTGGCAAGAATTCTATCATTGGAGAAATCAGTGGTGTAGCTAGAAATGGATCGCCCTGTACTTACTCACAAGTTGTACAGTGGCGTGTATTTCGATTTAAAGCTTTCGTGACTGCAGGGATTCATCTTGTAGCCGAAACGTCGTGAGAAATAATTTATTATGTTTTATTTTTATTATTTTAATTACTTACCTTCTACGTGACTTTACCGAAAGAACCAAGAAGAAGTGGCGTATATTGTTTCACCCGTTTGAGTGGTTATATTTTGGTGATATAATTACGCCAGAATTAGTTGTCATATCATTCGGTGCTTTCCTTAGGGAGGGTGGCAGCACACACGATACGATTTATATAAAACACAGATTTAATATGGAGTGGTGGCGCAGTGGTCAGCGCGCTGTGCTATTTACGGCTCCTGGCCACGGCTACCATCAGTTCGTGCCACGAGGTGGTGACTGACATCTCGAGCCTACGACACTGATCAGCATGGTGAAGTATGGTCAAACAATTTCCGTGATCGACATGGTGTGCTGAGGCCTTCATCCAGCAGCGGATTGCCACCATTATTATTGTAGTGGTATAAAATCATTTACGGCGCGCAACATATCCGAGACTTTCATCAGACCACTGCTCACATACTGGAATCATCAGGTCAACGGTAAAAGTGCAGCCTTGCAATCATTTCGCAATGCCGCTACAGGCCAAAGTGCCTGCACTAGTGGGAACTCTTAAAGGGGCCCTCCAGAGTGTGTATCCTTGGCCTACTCTTCCACACTGGCCAAACGTCTTGGACGCGGTGTGAGTACCCACACTGTACTCCACCATCGACTCTGTTGTACCCATCCATAGGGGCCGTCCATAAATGACGTCACGCGATTTTGGACGATTTTTGACTCCCCCCCCCCCCTCGTCGCACGGCGTCACAAAAGTCAGACCCCCTCAAATATGACGTCACAAAGCTCTGCCCCCCCCCCTCTCAAAACCATATTTCCATTTTTAAAATAAAACATGCTTCAAATCGCTTTATACTATTGTCATTGTAGTGCGTATTTAATGTGGCGCTGTACTCTGATGTTGTAGGAGAAAACATGTATTAAAAAGTCTATTTAATGAAGTAGAACGTGTTGTCTATATTTATTTAAAGTTGCGCATTTTGATGTGACGTCACATTTCTCACCCCTACCTCCCTCTCATCACACATCGTCACAAATGTCTGACCCCCCCCAGGTGCGTGACGTCACATATGGACGGCCCCATACCGCTGAGTGGAGAGAAGCAGGGGGTGGGGGAGTGGATTTAAAAAAAACTTGCAGCCTTCTTTTCAACTGCCGCACAGAAGGCTGGGAGATTCGAATCGAACCGGCGACCTCTGGATTGCAAGTCGAGTGCGCTAACCATCACACACCACGCCAGCATCCCGTGGAATCAACAGCCATCCCTCAATTAGCCCACATGGCCCTTTCGTGGTTGAAGTGGCCCACCCCCTGTTTATTTTCATAGGTTCAGGAGGTTCAAAGCGTTGCTGGCTGTACCCACGCAGGACGCTCAAAATAAACCATCGCCACATTGTCCCGGCGCTCAGAATTTGGCACCGGGCGGCCAGATGCTGGGTTGGTCTCGCACAATCGGCGCGGTTATAATTTTAGCTCACAATGCGCGCACGGCCTGAGAAAACGGTGAGCAGAGCCGCCACTACATCTGATGGTTTCGCCGAACCGCTGCGAACGTGCGCGCAGTCTTGTCAGGTCGCGGAAGTGAGAACAGAGTTTGTGCCTGGGCTTGCACTGACGATGGGGAGACCTGTCTGCCTGGTCCAAGGCCTGGGATGCCGGTGGGCTAAGAGATGACGGTTTAAAATAGATTCTGGATAGATTCCCATCTTCATATCGCTGGGCGGACATATTCTTGAATCCATCTGTGCGAACATTTGAGTGTCACTCACTCGTATGTGCGGTGGTTCTCCAGGCTCTCGGGTATTCAACCCACGTGAAGCAAAACACTCTCATGAATGGAATTGGCCAAAAATCCCAATGTGGCGGGATCCTCAGAAATATTGGACATGAGACTCAGTGAGCCTCTCCTGGATAAATAAAAAGCATTGTTCATACACTCCAAGAGCTCATTAAACATACATTGGCAGAGCAAATGCACTGTATATATTTAAAATACAGTGGTGGCCAAGGAATGAAATACATCCAAGAGGATGTCCAACTCGGAAACGAAGCGATAAAATCAGCTCGTGTGCTCGATGGATTATTCCAACAGGATCGTGAAGGACGTCAACAGTTTGAGGGGGTGGGGGCGGCGGATGCCTTCATCCAGCAGTAGATTGACCATGCCCTTCGATAATGACATGCACGTATAGTTGCATTTGTGCAGTTTTAGTCGAGGGTCCTGGACACCCGATCCGACATCTGCCTCGTGTTTATTTACACTGCTCGGGCTGGGGTTGTTGGGTGTAGCAGGGTGGGGAGGGGGGAGGAAAGGGGGGTGGGTCGGGTGGTTGGCGGGGACGCTGCTGCGTGTTGTTTGGTTGGGGTGAGGTTGGATGAGGATGTGTGTTTTCCATTGTCTCACCACCACCACCTCCTCCTCCCCGCTCCCACTGCCGCCCCCGCCGCCGCCGCCGCTGCTGCTGCTGCCTGGAGGCCCCAGCACAGGAAGGAGGGCTCTGACCCCGACTGGCCAAGCAGGGCGGTTCCCACAGCGCTCGCCGCCGCCGCCCCTGCGGAGTGAAACTCCTCCGGGGCTAGCCGAGCTCATGCGCAGAGAGCGCCGCAGTCGCAGCGTCCCGTGGCACGCAGCTGGCCGGGATTACGGGATTCGTGCAAAGAGATGGCCCGTATCTGATGCGCCAGTAAGACCCAATGAAGGACCCCTATACACATATCATTGTACGCGTCTCAGAATATTGGCGTTCCGTTCCAAATGCTGTACCGTACGCGCTGTGCTAAAACCGAAACTCTTAATAAAAAAAATATTAATATGAAAACAATAAATGTTTTCCATAAGGCGCAGTGGTGTTTTGTTGTTGCAGGGACTGCAAACGAAAATTCAGAGGACGACCGCCGTGTAGATGGAGAGATGAGATCAGCTCAGGCGAACGAGAAGGACTGTGGCACCGCAGCACCGCAGGGAAGCGGTATTCATCCAACAGCGGATAGACAATGACTGACGTTGATGACGATGAGGAATCTCTTACACGTGTGTTTCATATTTGCTCACACTTCTGATTGGAATGTCTAATACGTTGAGAGGTCATGATCCCATACAAAGGCGATAAGACCGTGAGTGAGTTTCGTTTCCCTCTCTGGGCATTTGTTCACTTTGCGATGAAGTGCTCCGTCTGGCGTTAACCGAGACAGCCCCGACCCAATCGCCGTGCATACGACCAGGAGCAGCACCAATCCTCACAAGGGCAATAAGAGACTAAAAGCGGAACCATGCCTCGCCATAACCATCGCGCCAGATCATAAAAGGCGCTGTTGTCACCACACCGTATTTGCGACCAGCGCCCGCTTGGTGACGCGTTCTCGTTGTCAACCTTCCCCCGTCATCTCATTTCCTGGACAACTCCGACTACGCGCGTTGGCATACGTCGCGTGCTGTGCGTGCGTACTGCAAGTTGAACTTCTTTCGCACCGCACGTGGCCAACCGTGCTCATCGGAGTGTTGGGGGGGGGAAGACAAACGAAACACACACACGGCAAAAGCAGTTCGAAAGAAGTGCATCTCCGCTCGTCTCCCTTCCTCACTGCCCTGCACATCGCGTGTGACTCCCCCCCCCCCCTTCCTCCTCTTCTTCTGCGCCACGCTGAGGATGCTCGCGCGCTCCCCTTCCCCACAGAGCTTCCTTAATGCCGTGCACATTGCGTGGGACGAAGAATCCTTACCACCCCCCCCCCCCCCAATTATTCTTCTGGGCCATGCTGTGCCACGATGGGTCACGCCGAAGGGGCCCATGCATGCGGAGTGTCCCGGGCGGAGTGGCCAGCTCGCGCTCCGTGCGCCTCGCGTGCTCTCCCCGCCCCATGCGGCTTTGATGATCTAAACGCAGTCATGTGACCCGAGGAATTCCAGCTATGTGGGCGAGACCGTACCACTCGCAGCGTTTGCTTGCGAGCGGACCGAATCCAAAGCGGGCTTCCGTGACCCCGATCAATGGGATTTTTTGGGTGACGCATCGAAATTCATCTACTTTGGGGGTGTTTGTTGTTGTTTACGACCGTTCGGCTAAATTTGACTCGCCCGATAAATAAGGGACGGGCCCCGTGACGCCGAGCGTTATATTTCTCAACTGCATCGGCGCACACCCCTCCGACCTCGCCTCGGCGAATGGTACGATCCGGGTAGGTGGAACTTGGAAACGCCACAGATCAGCGAAGCGTCGAGGCTAAATGGAGAGGAGGCTCAAGTAATTGAAGTTGTGTTTGACGGCGTCGGCTCCGGCTCAGTGACGCGCTCCCTCGCTCGCTCCGCGGCACGCCCGGCCACTCTGACGAGAAGGCAACGGGGGGAAGGGGTGCTTACAGGGGAGGAGGAGGAAGAAGAAGGAGGAGCAGCGGAGGTGGTCTTCGTGCCGTCGACTGACTCGACTCGCCACAACCGACGAGGGAAAAGAGACCCGCGAAGAGTGCGTGACGACAAACCCCCCCCACACCCCTCCCCGATCTTGTCCGAGCGCAGCGCCTCGCCACAATCGCCCCCAAGTTTTGTCGGCATCGCCACAGCCTCCCCCACCCACCCATCCACCCGGCAGCCTGCACCGAACTGTGGACAGCACCGCGCGGGCCGCCCAGGAAACCGCCCACCCGCTCCATCGCTCGCTCGCCCGCCCGCCCGCCCACCCGCTCGCTCCATCGCTCGCCCCATCTCAGCGGCGGTCGCTCTTCTCGCGCGCCTCGCCCCAGCGGTAGCGCACGGAGAATCGCTCTTCTCGCGCGCACACGCGGCACGGAGGAGGAGGAGCGGCGGCGTCGTCGAGAAGAAGGGAAGATGATTCTGCCACAGGGCCCAAACAGGGTCAACTCGAGCAAGCCGGTAAGGGCGCACTCGTCCGTCCGCTTTGTGTGTGTGTTTTTTTTACTTTTACACTCCGCACAGACTTACGAATTCGTTGAGATGGTCGTCAATTGAGTCGTGAGTGATGTGACGTATTGATGGTGATATCATTATACCACGGCTAGAAAACTGGGGTATGGGAGGGCATGAATGCTACTTTCATGCCCCCCAAATGTTACTTCATGGGGGCATCACGGTGGCTAGGAGATGTTAACTACCTCGCCTGGTATGCAGGAGGTCGTGGGTTCGATCCCGACCCTGGCGTCTGCTGTATATTTGGAGTTTGCGTGTCTCTCTCTCCGTGGTTGCGTGGATTTTTCTCCGGGTGCTCCGGTTTTTCCCTCCACATTTAGATAATGCGTTTAGAGAGTTTACCATATAGTTCCACGTGATACGCCACTTCAATGTGCTATCATTTGTGGCCAGGTCACTTCTGAAAAAGAGCTACATAGCTCCGTGGGCCTTACCTGGTAAAATAAAACATTTTTAGTTTTACTTGTAGCTGGGAAAAAAATATTCTTTGGAAATGTTGGCTTCTAAAAATCACACCCTCGCCCCTCCACCCAGAAGTTGTTGGGTTCAACTTCATACGCCAGGCCGAGACAAAAGTCTTCATCTGCTCGGAGTCTCAAGCCGAGCGATGCAATTAAAAGTAAATGATCTCCACGATCAGTAAACCGAGTGATTTGCCTCCCATGGAGTGTGCCGTGAAAGCTGGTAGAAAGCGGGTACAGCTTGCTCCAGATGACTCCCAGGCGTACACGATGTCCTCGCACACAAAGCAGATGTTCATTTTATTATTTTATTATTATAAATACTAAATTATTCTGGCCTTATTTAGATGTGCTGTAATATATTAAACGTATTCGTATTGGCTTTTATTTATTTTGGTTGTTTCGGATATTTTCTGGATTTTTCGATGGGTTTTAGCCCTCCACCCCTGTCATTCCCTTTTACAAATAAGATATCGAGACGACGCTTGTCGTTTTGCTGCGGCTCAACTCGCCCAAGTGCTCACTGCAATTGTCCGATCTTACGTTGGGACCGTTGATTTTCCGAATACCGAAATCGATTTTCAAGTAGATACAATATCAACCCTATCCCCCGATCTACCCCCTCTAAACTATCCACTGTGAGAAGCATTTGCTCTTTTTGACGTTAGTCGTTGTGCAATTGTCTTCATTCCTGCGTTGCAAGCCATGTCACCCGGAGCCCATTTGAAGGAGACGCTTCGTGTTGACAGATTCCCACCTGGTGTTTGAACGATGAAGCGCGATGATGATGATGAATGCGTCTCGTGAAAAAACACGAGCTTACTTGTGTTCACCGTATGAACAACACATCGTTACGTGTGCACGGCACGGTTCACGACAACAGGATCTTGGGGGAAATTTTACCGGAAAGAAAACGCGAGTAGATTTGTTTTTTGCTCGCCTCTCGCGCGTTTTAAGTCGTGGGCAATCGCCTTGCAGAGCGGGGAGCAAAGTTATGGGAAATTGCACTCTGATGTTTCACGCTGATGAGCCTGTTGGCAGATAGGCAAAACACACTTTGACCGGCAGACTTCCTTTAGACTTAACAAACGAGCTACGTGGAGTGACAGCTTCGAGCAGAGAAACTGTGGCCTCCGAAAAAAAACACTAATCATCGTTATCTTCTTCAGCCATGGTCGATACACTGCTGGATGACCCCCCCGCCACCAGCTTTCAATATTCAGCTACTGCTCATAATGCTCCACACTTTGCGCTGCAAGGTGGTGAGAGCGGTAAGGAAATGCAAACGGTGCACGGGGTGCGTGCGACGGAGGGACTACAGTTCTGTGAAGGGAACGTTCAACTAGATCATCGAACAATCATCTCGGCAACGTCATCGCCGGCCGTCATTTATCCGTTGCCGGTTGAAGGTTTCCCCCAAAGGTCGTCACGATCCGTCACGGGTCTCTCGCATTCAATGTGGGATTTTTTATTAGTTTTTCCCCCAGCTACGGTTGCAAAGATTTTTTTTTAATACTCTGTATTGAAGCAACTGCATAGAGGGCAGTTCCGTAAATTTGAGATAACCGCAGAGACACGATTTCAAAACAAATCTAATCGTGATAACTTACAGTTTAAGTAAATGTGGGTTATTCGTGGAATGGGTCGATGGTTTGACGCACAATCGGAGCGGAATGCACCGTCAACCATCCCAGCGTGGGTGATGAAGTATTTGGCTCCTTCCGAGTATGGAACCGACTTCACGAGTATCTGTCACCCCTGTCAAGCAAGATAGATACACGGGTTATTTTTGAATTGCGACCCTAATTGGTTGACACGCTACGCCCATGTTGAAAAGCCCCTTCGTGATTACACCAATGATTATCCCACAATCTTTAGGGTGTTGGAAATTTACATTCTGGATCGTAGAACTGCCCAGAAGCAGAGACCCAGCAATACAATTAAACACAGCAACAACACGCGTCATGCGCCACTAAGTGACGGTGAGGTTAGCACAGCCTTTGTGCCAGTGTAGGTGCACTTGAGGCCATTTCAAGTGTTGAAGGCTCCCTGGCAAGAGGTCGTGACACAGGCCCAAGTGTTACGGGTTAACTGACTGAGATGTATTGCATTGAAACGCACAAAGGCAAAGGTTACCCGATAGACATATAGACTATTGGGGCAAGTGCTGTTATAGTTCCAATGCTCCTATGAAAGCCACCACACGATAGGGCGGTGCGTCCCGTACCACGCTACGGCAGGTACTCATTTAAGGCTGAACCGACCTAGGAGGGGACCAGGACTGGTTCATAGATTGACTACTCATGTTATCCACGAGCTCCAGGCTCGTATCGCGGTGGTCCAACCACTGTCCTGCCGCTGGCCGTGAGCGGAGTGGAACGCGCTCGTGAGCCGGCGTGCGTTAGAGGCAACCACTTGGGCCTGCCATCTTAAAAAACAAGCGCATAAATAAATGAACAGTTTCCTCATTCAGCTCAGCAGGTGACGTCTCGAGCAATTATCAGGATGAGCCCACAAGAGAGTTCGATCTGGATGGAGGAGTCGCAGAATCATTGAACTGGCCGGGTTAGCACTGTGCCCCGCAGCTCCCCGTGCAGCCCGGGCATCGTCCAGGAAGGTTCTAACCTCGTCATGTGGCTAAGGGGGGATGCGCAGGTGGTAGCCCGCCCCCCCCCCCCCCCCCCGTTAATCGTGAACGTGGAGGCTGTTGGGCTGTGGTGATGGCCGCCAGGAGCGACGCTGTTGAAAGTCTTGGAACCCTACCCGTGCGAATCTCGAAGCGGGCAGTGTCGGGGAGAGGCTGCGGTCTTGTGACCAGGGTCAGGGCTTCCCAGAGGTTCACGTGGGCCCAAGGGCAGAAGGCCACGCGGCTGCCCCCTCGTTGATGAGCGACCGAACAGCAGGGCCGTTGTGGGGCCCCTTCTTTTATGCAAGGCACCTTTCGTGCGCCGCTATCTGCGGCGGCCCCTGTCTGGGATTGCCACATCCAGAGGGTACAAATAATCCCGAGATGTGTCCAAGGGAAGAATCATATCTCATGGTACCGGAAGAGGGGGAGAACGACGCGGTGAATGCATTGTCTTGAGCGGTGCATTGCAGCGTTACGTCACCGACAAAAAAACGGTACTTTCATATCCTGAGTAGGTTTACAGATTTACTGGACTTCTGTGAAAAGGGCTTTATAGCTTACCGGATTGCTCCAGTTTAATATCCTGATTTTCCAGGACATCTATCTCCTCGTAGAAGAGGATGATCCTGGGGAAACCGCGGACAGGTGGCAACCCGAGTCCTGTGACGAACTTATAAAAGTCTTGAGATAAAAATGCAAAAAATGTTTTTCTACGTTTTTACGCGAGGTGCTGCTTCCCCATCTCAGCAGTGCCTCCCAGGACGTCGGCTACAAAGTTTTGGTGAAGGCAGCAAGAGATGCAGATGAAGCGGAGCTCTCGACTCAAAATTTATCGTTGTTAAAATTCACCGCAAAGTCTCATTTCGCGTGCCCAGCGAACTGAGACGCAAGGAAGCACGCAAAATATTTGGTCGCATATCACAGTACAGTACGCCAATATTTGTGAATCGGTGGTCTAGTGTACAGTGCAACAAGCCCCGGCAGCCTGTGTTCGATTTCCGGCTCGGGCCGACACGGGCCTCCACTGACTGGCGTGGTCACACTCGGCGGCGTGACGAGGCCTTCTTCTGTAAATTATAATCGTCGTAATCATTACATACACCGACATTTAATGCTGTTGCTCGTGTAGGCGCGTGCAATCGCAACATTTAGAGCAACACATTTGCAATCAAATTAATTTAAGTAGATGTGCGACGGAGTTCGTGAATCGGCAATTGTTGTTTATCGGTCCGCACGCACGCGCCCACACAGTCCCGGTTTCTGTTAGCACGTCGCACAAGGCTGTGCACAATGCCGCTGTGACTCGTCCGAGGGCCTGCGGCCTGCCGCGTGAACTAACCTCCAGGGCAATCTGTGCGATCTAAGGGGCCCTTTGCGAGACTGGTCGCCCAAGGAGGCGTCTGGAGCACAGCGGCAGCCGCACAACGAGTGGGCGCGCAGTGGAAAAGAAATGGGGGCCCCCTCGCGACCTCTGACCCCGATAGGAAATTGCCGGAGACTGACCTCCTGACACAGGGCAGAGCGGAAAGCCAGGCCCCATTGTGTGCGGCTGCCAGGGGTTACAATCCGGCACTGCCCACACGATGAAAGTGCCAAACTGACACGGCCATTGCCAATGAATTAAGCATTCGCTCCAGCTGCGTCCGTCAGGAAGCCGAGAGGAAACGCACACCACTCCCTTGGCGGTTACAAGAGAGGCCCGTGTGTGTGTGTGTGCGTGCGTGTCGCCATCACAGACATCGCCACCACCACTGAACAGCCTTTGCCACCACCGAGCCAACAATTTGCTGGCAGGCTGGCTGGCTTGCTCGCGAGGATTGCCACCTCTGCATACAAAAAAAAACCTTGGGGCATAT